TGCAGAACAATGCCCAGCCAACTGTGCCACACAGGCCAAGGTGCATCTTGTTTCTTTCACCAACACAACACATTTGAGATTCATCCACATTGTTCCATTTGTGGTTGCTTCCTTTTTATTACTGACTGATATTTCTTGGTACATATACAGGGGGACCCCCCCCCAATAAAAAACTGGAATTATCTCCTGCAGGACGGCTCCTTGTACTACAGGCCTCCCCCACTAGGTGAGTGTTCTAGAAACCCACCTGTACCAGTGTACCAGCTGGCATTGTTGTGAGAGGCTTCAGTGAGTTCTTTATGAAGATTTGTTCAACCCATTTGCCCATTTCATGATAGGTGATTTATGAGTGCACCTGCCCACAGCGTGCTGCGTGCTCAGCAGTTTTTGACCAAAAACCGCCTGACCCCCATGCCCTGCCCTCCCTATTCACCAGATCTCACCATAAGCGACATTTTTTATGTTTGTCTCCTCAGGTGAAAAAGGTTCCTCAAAGAGAAATGTTTTACCAATATGGAAGAGATGAAACAAAAAACAGCAGAAGCACTAAAAGTATCAAAATCAGTGAGTTCCAAAACTGTTTTGAGCAGTGGGTAAAACCTCTTGATAGGTGTAGTGCATCAAATGGGCAGTCACCTGCTTTGAAGGTGACTGAAGTTTAAACATGTAAGAATAAACACATAATTTTTTTGCCCTGGCCAGGTAGCCCAGTTGGTTAGAGGGTTGTCTCAATATGCCAAGGTTGAGGGTTCAATTCCCAATCAGGGCACACACAAGAATCAGCCAATGAAAGTGTAAATTAGTGGAACAATAAATCGATGTTTCTTTCTCTCTCTAAAATCATTATACAAAAAGGAAATAAATCCACAATTTTTTATAAATTAATTTCGTGTTTTGAGGGTCCTCCCTTATACACCACAGCTAGTTTATAACCACTCACCAAGTGGAAAACAATGGGCCATTTCCATTGTGGCAATTATGAATAAATCTGTTATTACTGCCCACTGCCTTTTGTATGGACATCAGTTTTTATTTCTCTTGTGTAAACACCTTGGAGTGAGATTCCTGGGTTGTATGATGAGTATATGTTTGACTTAATAAGCAGTTGTGAAACTGATTTCCAAAGTGACTAATACTACTTTGTTTTCCTACGAGCGAGCTACGAGTATTCCCCAGCATCCAGTCTTCTTACTGTCAGTCGTTTTTAGTTCAGTCATTCTGACAGATGAATTCACTTTCCTACTATGTATAGACATATCCTTATGTTTATATGTTTAGTAGGAAAGGGAATAGACCTATCCTTCATAATAGGGTACATTCATAATAGGTGTGACTATATCCATAATGTACATTCTTAAAACCAGAATTGATGGCTCAAAGGGTGTGGAAATTTGAATAGGTATTGCCACACAGCCTTCTGAGAAGGTGGGGCCAATTTACCCTCCTAGCAGCAGGAATGGTAATACGAGTTTCCCCACATCCTCACCAACACAGTGCATTACCCAATTTCAAAACATGGTTTTAGATAAAATTTTACTTTAGATGATTGCTGTGTGAGTATTACCTCATAGAGTTGCTGGTGAGGACTTAAAAGCTTTTAGAGCAGTGCCTGCCACACCTAGAGTGGTAATGATGGTTAATTACTGATGATTACCACTACTAATCAGTCAATCCCATTTTTATTTCCGGGTCTCTCTCTCTCTCTCCTGAGTTTCTCACCAGAATATTCATTCAGGAATGCTTTCCTCTGAAGAGTCATTTTGCTCATGGAATGCAGTTAATTCTTTTAAATCTCTTCAGTGGCTGGCCAGCAAGTTAGGCCTTGTGGGTTTTAAAGAACAAGGAGGTGTGACAGGACCTTCCTAATGCAACTAATGCAGATCTGTGTCCCAGGTCAAAATCAACCTAGTTTGGAGCAGGAATGGATTCCTCTACTTTAAAATAGCTTTCAGACTTCCACCAAGATGGAGGCATAGGTGGAGACACTGTGCTTTCTCATACAACCAAGTTTAGAGACAACAAAATATTAGCAACAGAAAACACAGCCAGAACACAGAAAATTGAACTTTTCGAAAGTCTGATAATAACAAATTCTTCAGCCTGACCGGTAAGAGGGGCAAAACCAGCAGCTGGCGGAGCAGGGTTGCATAGGAAAACTCGGTCAGACGGACTCAGGCGCGCGGATCCCAGGCGTGGGGTTGCAAAGGGCGAAACCAGTGAGCGACCCAGTGAGTGAGTGACCAGCGGACCCAGCGGGGGCACAGGGAGGCAGGTTGACTGCAGTCACGGAAGGAAGTGGGCAGTGAGACAGGACCGAGCAAGCCCCAGCGGCGGGAGGCAGCAGAGGGGGCCACTATTTCCCCACTCTGACCCCCCACACACACACACATACAGCGTCACAAACCCGAGACCTGGGCGGCCCTACCCTGGTGAACACCTCAGGCTCCACTCCTCATACTTAACCAGCACGAAAAGACCAAAAATGGCTCAAGAAGATCTCAAAGCCCCAGAGCCCATAACTCTAAGCGACGAAGAAATAGCAAAACTTTCAGATGCACAGTTCAAAACACTGGCGATCAAGATGCTCACAGAACTGGCTGATTTTAGTCACAAATTAGAGGAACAAATGAAGGCTAAACTAAGTGAAATGAAGGAAATTGCACAGGAAACCAATAGTGATGAAAAGGAAACTGGGACTCAAATCAAGGGAGTGAACCAGAAGGAAGGAAAAAATGACCAAACAGGAAAATATGAAGAAACAAGAATTCCAAAAAATGAGGAGAGACTTAGGAACCTCCAGGACATCTTTAAACTCTCCAACATCCAAATTATAGGAGTACCAGAAAGGGGAAAGGAACAGCCACCAGTGGAAAACTTATTTGAACAAATAATAAAGGAGAATTTCCCCAATCTGGCAAAGGCAATAGACTTCCAGGAAATCCAGGAAGCTCAGAGAGCCCCAAAGAAGTTGGACCCAAGAAGAAATACACCAAGGCACATCATAATTACATTAGCCAAGATTAAAATGCAGGAGAGAAACCTAGAAGCAGCAAGAGATAAGGGGACAGTCACCTACAAAGGAGTTCCCATCAGACTGGCAGCTGATTTCTTAAAAGAGACCTTACAGGCAAGAAGGGGCTGGAAAGAGGTATTCCAAGTCATGAAATACAGAGACCTACAACCAAGATTACTCTATCCAGCAAAACTTTCATTTAGAATGGAAGGGCAGATAAAGTGCTTCTCAGATAAGATAAAGTTCAAGGAGTTCATCATCACCAAGTTCTTATTATATGAAATGTTAAAGGGACTATCTAAGAAAAAGAAGATAAAAATATGAACAGTGAAAGGACAGCAAACTCACAGTTATTAAGAACCACACCTAAAACAAAAGCAAATTAAGAGGACAGCTAGATCAGGAGCGGAAACATAGAGATGAAGATCTGGTGGAGGGTTAGCAACAGGGGAGTGGGAGGAAGAGAAGGGGAGAGAAGGTACAGAAAATAAGTAACATAGATGGTAGGTAGAAAATAGATGGGGGGGAGGGCAAGAATAGTATGGGAAATATAGAATCTAAAGAACTTGAGACACATGGTCATAAACTAAAGGGGGGAAGGGTGGGGGTAGGGGGTGCAGGGTGGAGGGGAATGGGGGGGAATAGAACAACTGTAATGGCATAATCAATAAAATTTTTTAAAAAGAATTAAAAAAACGAAACAAAAAAATAAAATAGCTTTCAAACGTTTTGACTGTTACCCACTTTAAGAAGTACACCACGAATCAAAATAGACATAGATAATCCAAACAAAACTTTGAAAAAACAATAGTTTTCTATTAATTCCATTCCATTTCATTGAAAATATGCTCATTGGAATCCACTGATAAATAGAATTCAAAAGCTACTATTGGGTTAAGACCAGCAGTTTAAAGAGCACTATTCTAGGACTGAAGTCACAGATACTGGTCTTCTTGGCAACACCACTGGAATCACAGACACACTCAGTTTTGGGGGCATTATTCCCATGTTCCTTTGTCTTAACTTCCTTGGACTGCTAGAGCTTATTCATTCATCACTGATTTTCACAAATAGGCCTTGGCTGGGTAGCTCAGTTGGTTAGAGCATTATCCTGGTAACACCAAGGTTGTGGGTTCAATCCTGGTCAGGGCACATGCAAGAATCAACCAATGAATGTATAAATATAAGTGGGACAACAAACAATGTTTCTCTCTCTCTCCCCTCCTCTCTCTAAAATACATTTTTTTTCAAAAGTCAGTCTGTTTCCTTAAATTACTTTCACAAATAGCTCTTGGACTCCTTATGTATTTCCTAGTAGTACTAAGTATCAGTGTTAGAGAACAGGCATTGAAGAGCAAGAGGTCTGAATTCAAATCTCACCGCTACCATTTGCTGGTGATTTTGGTGAAGTCTCCTTCGTCATCAAAGATTCAGTTCTCTCCTGTGTAAAATGGGAGTGATAGTAGAAAAATCAATGAACTAACCTGTGTGAAGGATTTAACACAGTGTCAGGCTGAGAGTAATTACTCATTACAGTGGTTCTCAAGGTGTGATCCCTAGATCGGCAGCATCAGCCTCACTTGGACATCACCCCGGATTTACTGAATCAGAATTTACTCCAGGGTTATCTGTTTTAACAAGTCTTCCTCATGTTTTCGATGCACGCTCAAGCTTGAGCAACTCGGGTTTAATATATGGCAACGATTAACAATTAGTACTCCAGGGTGCAGAGCCCAGCAGTGGGCAGATCATGAAAAGCTTACTGAACTAAAGTGAAGCACTAAGACGCCACCAGCACCCACAGATAAAGGATCCGACCCGCCCCCGTCTGCGTTCCCCTTCCCTCCTCAGGGACCGCCTGGGGCGTTCGATGATTGTTGGGGGGTCCCCACCCACGCCCCCCCCCCGTGAGCGTAGACTGAGAGGGGCGGGACTAGGCGCGGCGAGAGCTGTGTGTTTATTGGCTACAGGCCACGCCGCGGAGCGGAGCGGGGCTGCGCGTGCGCGAGGTGGAGGCCGCCCTTGGCGGCCGTTAAAAAATGGCGACTGTCAGCGATCTGAAGGCTGGTGAGTGAGAATGGGAGGCTTGCCAGGTGGTTTGCATCTGGTCTTCAGCCTGTGAAAAGGATGGGACGAAAGGAGGACGAGCGGAGCAGTAGTCAGCTTTGCCGGGTGGTCGCTCTGCGGCGTCAGGGCCTGCGGAGCCGGCCGATGTAGCGCCCATGGCGCCAGGGCCCTGTGAGGGAAGGGGTCGCACGGGGCAAGTTTTTAAACCTTCTTGGAGTTGGAGCTGGAGTCGCACAACCTGCACGTACCTGAGAGGTCTGCAGTCCTGCACCTTGGTCTGCTGACACATTTTTCTAGACCCTGCCTGAAGCCGAGGCCTTGGCCAAGATGTTTCACACGGGGCTGATGTTTCAGCATCCACGACCATTGTTGGTGTTGGGGACGATCCTGAGCCATTTGGTTGTGTCTCTCACTGCATCCTTACAACTTGGGAGGTAGTTTCCGATTTTCCATCGGGAAAACTAGAGGTAGAAAGTTGCCTGGCCATTCTGTCTTTTTCGGAAAGGTCCCACAAAATGAGAGCCCTTAAACTGATAGTTGTACAGCGTTAGTTTTGACGCAGATGTCCAGACAGGTAGTATTAATAATTACAGTTATCAGTGACTGAGCTTTATACGTCAGGCACTGCCCAGCCCCCCTGCTGTCTTACTGATTGCATGTAACCACCCTATGCCCATTTCATAGATTAGGGAATTGAGGGGCTGAGAGGTGAAACAGCTCGCTGAAAGCGCTCTAGCTGTATGTAAAGAGGCAGAGTGTGCGAATTAGATAATGGTGCACAAGAGCTCCGGTCTTAAGCTCTGGGTGATACCGCTGCTCCGTTAAAAACCGGTTCCAGTTTTCAGGGAAGGTGGGGCCTGACTCAGTCAGTCATAGAGGTTTGGCTGGGAGGGGTTGAGTGTCTTTGAAATGAACCATTGATATAAATGTATGTTTGTAGCCCTGGGCTAGTGAATAGTCAGAAAAACGGTCCGCCTTTATCCGCAAGAACAGACTTCACATGAACTGGAGAACCCTCTCCTTAGGAAGCACGTCTCACATGGTATTGAATACAACTTTAGAGGACTTAAGACACTTAGAGACTTAGGGATAAACACCAGATTAAGAACCTCTTTCTTAAAAAATTCTTATGTTACAGTGTTTTAAGCACAATAATACAGGGCAAGGCAACATAATATGGAACCCTAGAAGAACTTTGGGAATTAGGGGCATCCTACACAGATGTAGGGAGCCCTTCATGTTTTTTCTGCCTTCCCCAGTATTGAATGGACTTTATATTCAAGAGAAACCCAACGAAAATCTTTGCCGATCACTTACGTTTTATGAGCATTTGCCTTTTTAAGGCACTTTCACATTTTCCCACTTCACTTGGTTCTGTCTCTGAGAGATAGAAGTCATGTTGGAGAAGATGACTGAGGCATGAAAGTGATCTACCTCTGGGGTGGTGATGAGATGTGCTGTTTCTTAAGTCCAGCTTCATTAAATTCACTTCTCTGCTGACTTTGAGGCTGTGCTCTGTAAATACAGAGTACTTGGGACAAGATCTTTGCCAATGGGGGAAAAAAGTATTTCCATCTAATTTCAAAAGATGGAATTGGAGAACAGGGTTTCAGTTATGATCCCAAGAATATGATAAGGTTGTACCTTTCTTTCATGAGCCTGATACAAAGTCTGATTTGGTGGTAACTATGTATTTAACATACCTGCAGAAAGTTTGAGGTAATGATTTTAAAATAAGGGGTAAGAAAGTTTAGAGTCTATCTAGATCTCTTTAACTGTATGACCAGGTTTTTGTTGTTACTTATCAAAGCTTAAAAATATATATATATTCCTGAGCTCCCTTTATGAATTTTCATTATCATGTATTTATCTGGTGCCTTTGACAGGGGACAGCACAGTATTAAACTATATTACACCCAGTAGTATGCTGCACTATATTATAATGCTCCTAGGTAGCATTTATTGAGCTTTTACTGTGTTCTAGGCACTTAGGGTGAAATGTGTTGATTCTCTGGATTTGTTATTTAGCCATTAGGGACAATTTAAAAAAAGAAGGTTCCATACCCCTGCAAGGGATGGTGCCAATTTAGCCCTATGCCTGTACTCTCCTTGCTAGTACTTATTGCTAATCTCATTATCACAACTACTGATATTTGTAATAATGACCCTTGCTTATTAAGTTAGGTTACATTCAGCATACATGTCCTCAATTTCTTAAGATGGCTCTGATATACTCTGTGTTAGATTCCTAACTAGACTTAAAATTTCAAACTCCTATTGTTTTAGGGAATTAACTCATAATTGTTCTTAAAAACCAAAAACAGCCCTGGCTAGTGTGGGCCAGTGGATTGAGTGCCAGCCTGTGAACCAGAAGGTTGCTGGTTCCATTCCAGTCAGGGCACATGCCTGGGTTGCAGGCCAGGACCCCAGTTGGGGGCGTGTAAGAAACAACTGATCATTGCTTCTCTCATACATTCCCCTCTCTCTAAAAGGCAAATAAATACAATTTTTTTTAAAAACCCACCTTTTCATTCAGAATGGGCTATTCCCCAAGAGTTCTAGATGTCAAAGGTTTTTATATAAAATACAGGACACATCCTTCCTCTTATGGAGTGTACTTGTAGTCTTTAATCATCTTTCTAGACCAGGGGGTTTTAGTGATACAGAACCCGTCTGCAGTGATAAACACTCTGGAAAATATGTGAGATAAATGCGGGTTAAGTTGAGGTCCCAGTATGCTGACTATAGTCCTCTCCCCCCTTTTTTCCTCACTGAAGAATGTGTATCAGACTGTAGCCTGTGTCAGTGATGATGTTGGGAGGAAACTTGAATTTGCTTAAATATATTAAAATAGTAAATCATTATAACTTGGGAACTTAATTTTTTTACAAGCATGGCTTGTAGCTAATATGGTAATTGGTCAGCTCATCACAATGTTTAGATTGAAAGCTGCTATTAGGACATTTACCTTTTAAACCCTTTTCTTTAAATCTAGAAATGACTATTTTTTTCTACAATTGAAGCATTAATGTTTTCTATTTAACAGTTTTAAAGGATACCTTGGAAAAAAGGGGAGTCCTAGGGCATTTAAAAGCGAGAATTCGAGCCGAAGTTTTCAATGCCCTAGATGATGAAAATGAACCCCGACCAACATTGTCTCATGAAAACCTTCTTATTAATGAATTAATTCGGGAGTATTTGGAATTCAACAAATATAAGTATACAGCGTCTGTCCTCATAGCAGGTAAGAGGTTATTGTTAGTCATCTGAGACAGAATCTGCTTCTTCCCTTCCACCAATTCTAAGAAAATATTTAGCTTGGAAATCTAATTCCATTATGAAAGTGTCACCTGAGTGACTGGAACATAAAAATCACAAAGGCTCTTTCCATTCCTTAAACAAGTTCCTCATGAGGCTTGTAGGGGAAAATAAATAACTAAATAAGCACTTATACTAGCTGTATACTTTGAAAAATCATACATAATTTTTGATATTGAGAATAAACAGTTGTTTATATTTTATCTTGTTTGCTGCCAGTCTTTTCTCCTATGGATATGCTTTAAAAATACACATGTAATGTGTATTTAAAACGTGCACATATTCTTTATCTAAAAATATAAAACATTGGAGATAAAACCTCAAAATATTACTGTTGTACATTGGTTAGGGATGTGTACAAATGTATGTAAAATCATGGTATTTAATTTACCATTTAATTTACAAAGGTTTAGGAAGGTAAATTCCAGATTCATTCTCATGATGAGAGAGAGAGAGAAATAGTATTGGGGGGAGTTAAAGATAACTTTATCTGTTAAATTTTATTTAAGAAAGAGAGTAAGAAAACCGGAAGGCTATCCAGTAGTCAGGGTTGGCATTACATCTGGGCTGGGGGTAGAAATGAGATTGGGAAGATGATCAAAAGCACCTTGAATATAGAAGGGGGGACCCAAAAAACCCCAGAATTTATTTATAAAAAATTGTATATTCTTAAATGTTTAAACTTCAGTTACCTTCAAATTACTCTTCATGTGATGCATTTTGAATTCATCAATTTTGATGCCTTTTAGTACTTCTGCTGTTTTTTTGTTTTGCCTCTTCCACATCTGCAAAACATTTCTCTTGGAGGAATTTTTTCATCTGGGAAAACAACAACAAAAAAAACCCTCAGGGAGTGATCAGGTGAATGGGGAGGGTGGGGCACATGGGTCATGCTATTTTTAGTCAAAAACTGCTGAATATTCAGCATTGTGGGCAGGCGGGCTGGTAAATTACCTATCATGAAATGGGTAAATGAGTTGAGTGTTCAGAAAAATTTCACTGAAACCAAATGTAGCCTCTTACAACAATGCCACTTGGTACACTGATACAGGTGGGTTCTAGCAAGGGAGGCCTACCTGTCCTCCAGAGGATAATTCTGGTTTTTTCAGGGGTCCTCTTTCTTACAGGGCAAAAGTAGGTTTACAGTTGTGACTATGTGAAAGTTTATTCTTTTTTAATACATTTAAAAAATCCTCACCCAAGGATTTATTTATTAATTAAAAAATTAAAAAAAATTTTTTTTTATCTTAGAGGGGAAGGGAAAGAGAAAGAGAGGTAAAGAAACATCAATGTGTGAGAGAAACATTAATTAGCTGCCTTCTATAAAGTACTCTGACTGGGAACTGGACCTGCAACTCAGGCATGTGCCCTGACTAGGGATCAAACTGGCAAACTTTTGGTTTTCTGGACACTGCCCAACCAACTGAATCACACCAGCCAGGGTTATTGATTTTAGAGAGAGAGGAAGGGAGAGAGAAACATCGATTAGTTGCCTCCCATACCAAATGGAACCTGCAAGGTTTTGGTGTACGAGACGATGCTCCAACCAAGTGAGCCAGGTGGCCAGGGCAACAGAGTTTATTCTTGTATTATTATTTATTAATTATTGTATTATTTTCCATGTGAACAACTGTAAACCTACTTTTGCCCTATCCTGCATATCCTTTGATTTCCTCGTTTAAGTTTTAATTTGTGCTTTAAAACCATTTCATGTCTTGGAGATATTTCTGATCAAAGAAAAGAGATCACAATGTAGATATTGAAAGAGAATGAATTCGTTGATGCCAGAACTTTCCATTACAGATTTTTTTATTTAACATTAAGTATATATCTTAACTGAATAAAGACATGATTTTCATTGGTTTAAAGTTCTTTAATCTCAGTTATCTCCACTCTCCTCCATTTGTTATAGATGTCTATATAATACCATTAATAGAAAAGAAGGAAATTATGAAATGTCATTAATTAGTTGTCTTGGGCTTGAGCTCCCCTAGAATGAAATATAGTGATAATAGTCAAGATTCATATTAAATGCCTTGGCTTTAAAAAAAAATCTGAGGTATAAGTAAGCATCCAGTAAACTTTATTTGTTTGGCATAAAGTTCTATGGATTTTGCCAAGTGTAACTGTTTGTGTAACTACCACCACAGTCGCAGTATAGAATATTTCCATCACACGTCCCCACACATACTTTTCTGTGCCCCTTTGTGGTCAGCTTCTTTGCCTACACTTCACCCCTAGCAGCCACTGATCTGTCTTTACCTGTACCTATCATTTGCCTTTTCTAGAATGTCCTATAAATGGAACCATGTAGGATGTTGATTTGAGTCAACTTCTTTCCTCTTAGCATAATGCATTCTAGATTCAGCCATGTTGATTTTTTCTCCCCTGTATAGCATTTCATTGTGTCAGTTGATAGACATTTGGGTTGTTTCTAGTTTTCACAGTTATGAACCAAGTTATCATAAACATTCACCAAAGGTTTTTGTGCCAAGATACATTTTAATTTCTCTTGGTAAAGAGCTAAGACTGGGATTACAGGGTTGTGTGTTTTAAGTATGTGCTTACTTGGATAAGAAACAGCTCAACTGTTTTTCAAAGTGGCTATACCATTTTTGCTCTACTACCAGCAAAGTATGAGATTTCCAGTTGCCCTGTTTCTCTGCTAGCATTTAATATTCAGGTTAATTTTATTTTTAGAATTAAATGGATATTTAATCCTAAAATGGATATTGGTGCTGTCATGTATTTAATTCACAGGCTTCTCATAAACAGACGAATGAAGCCTAGTATTATAGTTTAAATATGGAAACAGTATTTTCCTAACCAGTTAATTAGATTAAAAATGAATTTATATTAAATTGTATTGTTATATATTTAACAAAATATTTTGAAAGTCTTACTTATAATCTTAAGTTGGATCTACCATCATTATTTTCCAAATCTGAAAAATATGTATATCTGGTGTATTTCATACCAAAATCATACTTGCTTTTTATTTTTTAATTTTATTTATTGATTTTTTTAAGAGAGAGAAAGGGAGAGGGGAGAAAGAGAAAAATAACATTAATTTGTTGTTCCACTTACTTATGCATTCATTGATTGAGTTTTGTATGTGGCCTGACCAGGGATCAAACCCGCAACTCTGGTGTATTGGGACAACATTCTAACTGACTGAGCTGCCCTATCTGGGCCCATATTTGCTTTTGAGATTCATAAAGGCTCAGTGTTTTTGTGATTATTTTTCCCACAGAATCTGGTCAACCTGTAGTTCCACTGGATAGGCAATTTCTCATCCGTGAACTAAATGCATTTGAAGAATCAAAGGATAATACAATGTAAGAATTATTTTAAAAATAAACTTTCTAATTGTTGTTTTGGAGTCACAATCTCCTAGTGGTGGTTTTATTTTATTTTAATCCAGCAGGTATGTATGTGGGTCTAGTGTGTGTCTAGTACTGCACCAAATCCAAGGTATGCAGCAGTAACTGAGTCATATGAAGTCTCTGCCTTCTGGAGCTAAAATTCCTGTGGTTTCAGAGGAGTGAACAGCCCTACCTCTTTCCAACGGGCACTCTTTGCTTGATCCATCCTTTTTTTTCTGATGCTTTTGCTCTGTCAGCTTTTTTTTCCTTAGATTTAACTCTTCCTCTCTACTACTTCCTTCACTACAACTTAGAAATATACTCAGATCTCTCTTCTCTTAAAAAAAAAAAAAACCCTATCAACTTCCACCCCCAGTCTACTGCTCAATCTCCTTTTTACCACTGAACTTACTTATGGAAAATCAACCCTCTGCTTTTATTCTATTGCCCACACTCTGTGATCCTCCTTAAATTCGCCCCTCACCATGTACAAAAAACTATACCCTTAAAAAGAAGAGTACCCACTTTCTAGTAACTTCTTAGTTCTTTTCCTACTTCAATGTTTCTTAAACTTTTCCAGAGGATCCCTACGTGCCCACCCCTCAAAAAAATTTTGTATATAGGCACCTGGGAATGTAGCTCAAAATAATCTTTTCCTAGCAAGAAAATTCCTTATGTTTACTCTTTCAAAAAAGTCATTGAATTTTTTTCATTCTACTTCATGGTGTAGTTGTTTACCATTAAAATGTTTTAAATGACATACCAGTTTAAAAGTTACTTTATAGTTTATAAGTCTCTGTATGAAATTATTTCAGGATCATATGCCATCTTTGTCCTGTAGTTTGTACCAAGTCTCTAGCACAAAGAATGGGAATGTATATACAGGGTCCAGCAGAAGTCTTCCTTAAGTGTGATTGGTAGGGTAATAATATGGGTGTACAGTTTTAATTTGAACATCTCACTTAAAACATCATATGGTATGCTTGAGCGTGATATTGTTATGTTACAGAATTACCTGCTTATGATTTTGTAACAAAAGACTTTTATATAATAAAAGAGGGGCATTATTTGTGCCGGACCCCATATATTTCCAGTTTGAGAAATTCAGTTTAATTGAATTTCTGCAGCATTTTATAATAATGACTTTACTCTTTCTTAAAACATTTTTTGTCACTTCTCTTTTGTGACCCTTTACTATCTTGATTTTCTTGACTCCCTAATGGTATTCTCAGTTTCTTTTCTGTTTTAAATTTTATTTACTTATTTATTTTTTAGAGAAAGGGGAAGGGAGGAAGAAAGAGGGAGAGAGAGAGACAGCGATAGGTTGGCTCTCACATGCATCCCGACTAGGGACTGAACCTACAACCTAGGAGTCAAATTGGCAACCTTAGAAAATGCCCAACTAACTGAGCTACACTGATCAGGGTTCATTTTCTTTATTGGCTCCTTTGGGGTTCCTTTAAACTGTGGGTTTGCCCAAAGTTTTGTCCTTTTCTTCTTGTCCCCCTGCCCATTTTTCTTGAGCCTTTAATGATACCTCCACGCTGGTGACTCACAGTGAATCCACAGTGCTGTAATGGCCCGGTCTCTGAAGTTGCACAGTGCTTTACTTAAATGTCTTCCTTGATTCATTACAGGTGAGTGTAGCCCACACTCAAGGGGAGAGCAATTAGGCACCAGCTGATTATCAGGACAAATATAAATTTTGAATGTTGAAATAAACTTAGGAAACATCTAAAATGTGAATTCCCACGTTTTAAAGGGAAAGGAATGTCATAATTTAAATTATCACACCTGCTAGTTAGTAAATAGATATCAAAAAACATCAATCTGTTAAATTGTTTTTTCAATTATGAGATTGTAAGCTAAGGAAAACATTTCTGTCATACTTCTCTTTGTTGTCAACAGGGCAACTTCTCTTTGTGCAAGGGTACAATATAAAGCCCAGGCAGTGTGTTGTAAAGGAAAGAATATGGGACTTGGGGTTCAAGTACACAATTTATTTACTTACTAGCTAAGGGAATTTCAAGCAGATTCTCTTTGAGCTGTGGTTTTCTCATTTTTAAGTTCTGGATGATGATTATGACATCCTGACAGGGTGAGGATAAACTGAAGAGGCAGAAATGTTTTGTAGCTGTAAAGTAGCTTTTAAAACATTTCTACCCAGCTCCTATAGAGCTAATATTTACATATCATTTGAATATGCATTAAATACATACGCATTTAATATGTGCCAGGCATAGTTCCAAACACTTGACTTTTAACTCATTTAGTCCATAACAACTCTATGAGGTAGGGACTATAATTACCCTCAATCATAGAGGAGGAAACATTCATGACATAGGCTGGGGACACTAAGAATTTTGCTGAGGTCACATGGCAAAGCCAAGATTTGAACCAGGCAATGTGTCTTGGGATATAAGACCTTCTCTAGGGAAGGATTTATTAACATAATAAGTGCTTATTGAATACCTGTTGGATATCAGACAATATTAGGTACTGAGAAATTTTATTTTGGGCTTTGGAGCTTTAAAGCTAAATTGCTGTGTATTGATTGAAATTATAGTACAATTCAGATGGGGTTTAAGTTGTTAATATTTTCTCTGAGTTTTAAAATTGTCTTGAGAATTAAACAGTACTCAAATTTTTTTAAGATTGTATTAATTTCTTTTTAGAGAGTGGGAAAAGGAGGGAGAAAAACATCGACTGCTTGCCTCTCACACAGCCCCAGCTGGGGACCTGGCCTGCAACCCAGGCATGTGCCTCTGCTGGGAATCGAACCAGCGACCCTTTAGTTAGCAGGCCAGCGCTCCATGCACTGAGCCACACCAGCCAGGACAGTACTCTTAAATTTTAAGTCTAGTGAATTGCTTGGCTATTTTGGTGTCAGAAGCTACCTTTTAAAGCATGGCTGTTTTAAGCTTTTCCTATTTGTGCAAATTTAATTGATTTTGTTTTTCTTCCTGCCATAGACCTCTTTTATATGGGATTTTAGCTCACTTCTTGCATGGAATTAAGGATGGCATCCAAAGTACATTTCTGAAAGGATCTTCACTTCCGTCTCCAAATCCAAACCTTGTTAGACAGCCTAGTGGAAGAAACCAGATGGGTATGCATTTTCTGAGATTTATCATTTAGCTATCAGCAAGTATATTTTCTTCTTAAATATTTTTTATCTTTGGAAGGTTTTTCCTGAGCATTTGAGTTTAATTCCATTTATATCTAATACAGTTTTAACCAGTGTTATTTATCCTCCAAAAAACAAAATGCTCTTTGGAAAAAGAGTATTGGGGAAGGCAGATAGATGACTAGACAAAATTTAATACATAATTTATGTATAGAAGTATTGAAACACCTGATTCTCATATAAATACGTACTTTCTGGAGCAGCTTAGTCCTTGGTATACTGAATGAATAGCTTTTTATTGAGTCATCAGATTATTTTTCTAAGACTAAAAAAATGCAAAGTTGTTAAATACAGAGAAATCAGAGGTTTATGTGTCCTCTGCATTTTCAGGATACGGTACTTTTTGTGGTTCAGTGGTGGGTATCTACAAATAAGAAAGTCTTAGGAGACTAGTCCACATTTCTTTAAGAATGCTTACTTTTTAAATGAACTTTCAGTTGTTTTGATTACATCAGCAATAGGACCTCAATTTGATAATCTGAACTAAATGGTTTAGAGCTCAATGTGTCCTCCTATGGGAGAGAGTTGATCTTTCTTTTTAAGAAGGACAGTCAGCTGATTATCAGAATAAATATAATTTTTTTAAAAGATTTTATTTATTTTTAGAGAGAGGAAAGGAGGGAAAAAAGGAAGAGAAACATCAGTATGTGGTAGCCTCTCGCACTACCCTGGCTTGCAGCCCAGGCATGTGCCCTGCCTGGGAATCGAACCAGGGACCCTTTGCTTCACAGGACAGTGCTCGATCCACTGAGCCATACCAGCCAGGACTAAATATAAAATTTGGCTATTGAAATAAACTTTTAGAAAACATCTAAAATGTGAATTGCCTTTTTTAGTTTTCCAAGGCTTCTGTGGGCAATATTGATTATGTTAAATATTAGCTTAAGATCTGAAAGGTGGTGGTCTTTTCTAGGTTATTTATGACTTCACTAGGAGTTATCCTTCTACATATCTTAGAATTCTGAGCTGAATGGAACATTGGAAAGGAAATCACTCCCAGCTACTTAGTTCATGGATGAGAAAACCAAGACTGAGAGGTGAATGACTATGAAAGGCTGTAGCTGATCATTTTTAGCAGCATCAGCACCTCTGATTGCCATTCCTGTAACTTTTCCATTTAAAGAATATGGGGTTTTCCTAGTTCCCTTTTCAGGGATTGGGTAAGGAATTGTCATTAGTGTCTGAAAAAAACAAAACAAATCACAAGTACATGAATAAATCTCCAAACATTCAAATAATATAATGTAAAATGCCCCTTAACCTCTTCCCTCTGCCTCTTCCTAATTCTCCAATTTCTCTGCCTTCTCTGTTAGCAACTTGGTGGTTATCCTTCAGGACTCATTTCTGTGTATTTAAATATTATATAGAAGGTGGGGCAACAGTAGGTTTACAGTTGTTAGTATGGAAAATAAATAATAATTAATAAATGATAGTATAAAAATAAACTATTTCACGTACTCAGACCTGTAAACCTACTTTTGCCTCACCGTGTGTACTGAAACTGGAACAATGCAGAGAGGAATAGCGTGGCTCCTGCTCAGGGACAACACTCAAATTCGTGAGGTGTTCCAGATTATTGTTCCTTTAGATATGAGGGAGAAATAAAGGCTTTTCCAGGCAAACAAAAACTGGGAGAATTTATCACCACAATATGGGCATTACAAGAAATGAAAGGAGCTCTTTTACATGAAAAAAAAACTCACAAGTTTACAAAATTTTTAGTTAAAGATGACAAACAGAAGCAGGAAATTGCAACTCCTTTTCAGAATAGGGTGTTAAACACTTAATTATAACACGAAGGTTAAAGGAGGAAAAGCATTTTTTTGAAAACCCCTTTGTGCTCCTTAGTCTCCCTGATGGCCCCAGCATTCCAGTGGTGAGTGCTGTCTGTTCCAAATCTCCTTCCTTCGGTATGTGTAAAAACCGTGTTGCTCACAATTATCATTATGAGAATTTTATATAACTTCTAAACACTGGTCTCAAAGAAAAATAGGCACTGGTTAGAAAATGCAGGAGTGGGCAATGAATTGATACGTTGGGTCTGGGGAAGGGATATGGGTCATTAGAGACTAGGCAAAGAAACTTCACATTTGTAACCCTTTTCACTTTCCTTTTGAATTTTGAACCATGCATTACTGCATTAGTATTCAAAAAATAATTGGACTTTATAATACAGGGGTGGACAAAAGTAGATAAGAACGATATGCCGAAGTGTGCTTAAGTATAGCAAGTAGACAACAAGAATGTGTAAATAATAAAGGCTGGCAGTTTGAGCACTTACAAGATTGTGCCCAAATGCACTGTGCCACTGTGACATTCCTTTGAGTTAATAAAGCTATTGTGGTAATGATAACCTGCATGTCTTTTTCTGTACAAACAACTGTAAACCCACTTTATGCACTCTTACTGTACATGTTATTCTACAACTTGCTATTTTTTTACTTGTCTCAATATATGTAGATCTACTCCCTCATTTTCAACTTTGTGTAGTCTTCCATAGTATTACTGATCATGCTTTACTGATGTACTTTTGTGTTTTTTATTTTTTGCTTATACAGCATTGCAGTGTAGCATTACTTCTTTGTTCACACAAGTATTTCTCGTGTGGATGCCTAGAAGTAGAATTGCTGGTTCAAAGCATATGTGTACTTAAAATAGTCTAATACTGCCTAATTTTTCTCCCAAAGGCCTTTACCAGTTTATGCTTACCACGAGTAAATGATAGTACTGGTTCCCCTATTTCATTGTTACCAGTGGATATTCTACACATTAACACTCTTAACACAGCAGCCCCATCACATTTGCATTTCCAGTCCCATGAGGAAATACAGCCTTTTAAGAAATAATGTTTGTGGCTTGTAAGCTTTTTATAATTAATCTCTGTAATGTTTCTGACTAATGACTAATCAGAAAGTTATAGATAATAGAGCATTTCTTAACTAAGTTCTCCTGAGATGAAGATCATGGATTAATTACTGGTAGTAATTAATGTAAGATATCACAGTGGGCAAGGTGGGATGGGTAGGGGTGGAGAGAATGAGAGAGTGCATTAATTACTTTGGGTCCTTTCTGTATAAAGTGCCAGAGACATCAGAGAGTCAAGTTCCAGTCAATGAAGCTTTGGGTGCCTATTCTGTGGAAAACTCTGTGGAAGACTCAGAAATGAGGATGACTGCTGAACCAATAGAAGAACAGTGACTTTGCAGATTCTTTTTCTTGCTCATCAAAAATTTTCTTGGCCTCTTTGTGCAATGACTTTTGAATTGTTAGCCAAAAACTGCATTATGTTCTAGTAATATGTTTAAGCATTCCATTTCCTTTCCCTACTCTAGCTTACTGTTTGAAGGACACATAAGTTTTATTTCACAATATTGACAAGGTTATGAAGATGTTAAGATAATTAGTCTTCAGATTACAATACTGTATCTCTCTACATAAATTCATCCAGCTGAAATGTAAAACAGTAAACTTAAATTCCCTTTTACTTGAAAACAAGCCCAAAGCATGCCAACATGAAAACACTTCTTTTTACAAAGTGCTGAAAAAAATGAAGAGAGTGTATATAGACACATTTACCTTTGAAATATAGCCAGTTCATCTGTGCTGCTGATATTAGTGTTTGTCACATTGGAGGCAAAGTGGTTTTTGCTATAGATAAAGGACCAGATACTTTATAATATACAAAATCATTATCAGCTCAACTTTATGCATATATGTGAAGAAGTACATCAATAACATACTGCATTTTTTAATAATGCTTTTTTAGAAAACCTAAAATGGTCGTGTCCTAACAATACTGTTAATTTTCTTTTGTCCAGTAAAGCTGCCTAAAATTGAGGGAGATTGTTTTTCATGTGTGAACCAGACCTGTAGTAGTATTTACATTATTTCTGAGGATGATCGGCTCTGGAGTAATAATACTGTGTGTAAATCACATTGTCTTCAGAATTAGAAAATCCAGTCTGTGTTTTTGGTGCTAAAATTGCATGTTTCTAACAACTTGTCAAATTTGTGTTTTTCTCATGTTATAAAAATTATCATTAAAAGGGTTATTTTTTCAGTTGTAGTAAGTGGTTCATGTTTTCTTAGGAATTAAGTTTGTGCATTTCATTGTTGTCACATTGGGTATTAAGTTTCTCCAGGCTCTTCTCATCTCGAACACTTCTGCCTCTTTCCTTTTCCCCCACGTGACAGGGGAGATTGCGCAGAGCGACTAGGGCCCCTTCTTCACTGTTGTGGGAGCACGGGGGTAGTCACAGGGACTGTGGGCCTCTCTGAACTCTCATGGAACTTGATAGTTTTGGTTTTGGTTGAGGAACTTTTTCTACAATTTCTTGGATAGTTTTCTGATTTGGAAAGGAAAGTATAAATTGTGCTAGTTTTCTTCTTGCCACAAGAGGGTCTGGCTAGGAGGCATTTCTATTTGAAGAATGTTGGGTGCGGTTCTTTTTATTTTAATTGAAGAACTCTGACATTCCTCAAAATGCTAATTAAACACCCTGTTCTTTCTTGTGATTTCCATTTGTTACATATAACATAAGAGAAGTTTATAGCTGCTTACCTATGGGTTCACACCAGGGGGTACTCTATTAAAAAAAAAGAGTAAAGAAAATTTTTTGAATAATTAGAGTCCCTAGTACTAAACATTTCTGATGTTTTTCAATAGTGTTTAAAAATTTGTTTTTTCATTGTCCTAAACCATCTAAAGAACTCATACAGTATTAAATATTAAGATCCCGAAATATGTAGCTATGTCTGCCTACTACCTATTTTAACCTGGGATAAGCATTGACATTCATTTCTGTTAATTTCAGATGGCCACCTAAGAAAAGAGAAGGGGAAAAATACTAATATTGAAAATCTCCATATTTCTCAAACTGTGAAGAGATGATATTTCCATTTGGGGCATCTTTTATCTTAAAATTGTATGTATTAAATAACTTATTTATTTTCTTGTTACCAAAATGTGTCACTAATATTTGTACTTTGTAGAAATTTGAGTTTCTTCAAAAATATTTAGTCTTTCATATTTTATTGCATTTGTGAATAAAAGCTAACTCTGTCATCTAACTTTTTGGATTTGACTTGAAAGAAAATATATTGTTTTTAGGAAGTATTTTAAAGGTCCTTATATTTATGAGAAGTGAAAGGGTTTTGTAGTACACTATATATTCTTCTAAAAAACATCCAGATCCTTAGAACCGTATCATCTGCTCATTATTAGCATGGTACATTAATTAAATTTACTTCAGGCTGGCATTAAGTAGGTTTGTAGAAAAATTTTTGCTTAAAAAAAAAAGGTCAAAGCCAGAAGAAACCTAAAATTGCTATAAAGTTTGCTTTTTCTTTAATTAGCTATTTTTCAGATAACCATTTATGATTAAAGTCTCTGAATTACTACCTAAAGTTGAACTTTGAAACTAGGTAACAATGTACTTTTTCTTTCCTTAGATCATTTTGGCTTCTACTGGAAGATTTAATTAAAATGTAGAGGGGGAACTAATTCTTTTAATTTTCCTGTAAGTAAAACAAAGAGTTTATTTTATTACACGAAGAATGTGGAGTCAGCATGAAGAGACAGGCTTTAGGAGAAGGCTAGAAAGTACCTTTTAAAAGTTGGCATTGTTTAACCTCCGTGTGGCCTTCAGCTGTGCAGTTACAAGAGGAGCTATGAAAGAGCCAACCCCTAATTCTTGGGCTCTGAAGGTTATTAAATGTCGATTTTTATTCTTAGGATAGAAAAATAGTAAGAGCCATTGTAGTGTTATCTCACGTGCTGTTTTGATACTTATTAATTTTTTTAATGTAGAATTTATAGACTGATTTCACTGAAAACTGACTGTTGATGGGTAGACAGCACCTGACTGGCAGAAGCCCTCAGTGTATTCAGAACACAGCTGCATGGGGACCCGAACGGTGACAACATTGAGCTTAGACACCTCCCATGGGGACAGTGATGGGCTGTAGTGAAAAGATCACCTTAAATCATACTTCACAAGTCATAGGGTTTTGAGAAGCCCTATTGGTGGGCTAAAATTACAATATATATGAGAGGTAGAAATATTCCAAGGGCTTATTTTCATTTTCAAATGAAATCTGTAGTATCTCATTATAATTACTAACCCTATTGTATATGGGAATATAAATATCTGAATTTTTCTCAGAGGACTTGGTTTACATCCAAAGATGTTGGCAGTGGACACTAAGTTTACCTCAGGAATTGCAATTATGCAGCACTAGATTAAGAAAAAATGCTGGAGTTTAACATTTTGGATACTGATAAAAATGACCAAAATAGAAACTAAACAGTTGTCACATGTAGTCCACTGTAGTTTTTATAAGCATTATCCTGTAACTTGTTTGTACCCAGGCAACTTTTATACTTTTGATATAACATGTAATAAAAAAAAATTAAGCAATTCACCTTTGTGCGGAGGGCGTTTGTGTGATTGTTGTCATCAGAGGTGTTTGCCAGAACCCTGGGGATGGCTCTCCAGGCCTTCCTTCGGGACCTCCAGCAGCCGAGCTGTGGGAGGGTAGAGAGTAAGGTTGAGGAAGGGGGGCTTTTCCCGGTGTATGTGCCGTCCGCCTTGGAACAGCAGCTCTTTGTAGAGTGGCAGTGGTGGGGGCTGATGGCGTCAGACTCGGGGGGGTGAGCAGTGTAAAAATCGGTGGGGCCATGTGTGGTTTTATTTAGTACTATATTTTTATATTTGGTAAAGGGAAAAAACATCTACTCTCAAAATACTATGGGATTTTTATGGTTATCCACAAAGGAGAATCTTGGGCTAAGAAAATCTGCTCTAGAAATTTCTGTACTCAGCATTTTTTCAACACTTGTCAATTCGTAGTCCAGTAATTTAAAAAGATGCATGGACTGAGACATTTAAAATATAAAGGAAAAGAAAGGCACATATAAATCCAGAGTACCCGTCAAGTTATCCTCATAAACTAATTAGTACATCATTGCTGGTGGTTTCATGGGCTTGTTGAGAGACGTTATCTTCCAAAAATGCAGGGGGAAGGTTGGATTTTCACAAAAATAGTATGTGAGTTGGAACGAAAGAGGGACTTGGGAAAAGCGGAAATTTAAAACTTGGGCAGTCTAAACACTCACAGCAGGAGCAGAGGTGGCTTTTGAAGATGATAAATTTGAACTTAGCATATATGTTTGCATAGAATAAACTAATAGCTTTATAATTACGTGCAAGAACACATTTGTATATGACCCACATGCCTGTGTGATTATGTAAAATCCGATGTGTTCTTTCAACCTAAATCCAAGTGTACACGAAGGATTAACACTTGTGAGAATATGCCTTTAAAGGCATTTAGAACAATGCCTCCCAGCCACTTGGTATTTGATTTTTGTAATAACTTCTGTAAGAACTGTGTGGCCTTCATTAATTTTTTTTTAAATGAAAGGTAAAACTACCCTTTAAAAAATACAGACTTTATTTTTAGAGCAGTTTTAGATTCACAGCAAAACTGAGAGGAAGGTAGAGAGATTCCCCATGTACCCTGCTGGGTCTCCCACACTCGCATGGTTTCCCCATCAACATTCCCTGCCAGAAGGGTATATGAGGTCTGTCCAGAATGCATCCAGCCATATAATATGGAAAACACATCGAAGAAAATACAAGATAGAGAAACATTGTACATAGGACAGTGACACTTCAGTCCCCTTCAAAGTAGGCACCTTGGAACCTCACACAGTTCTCTCAATTGCTATCACCCGCTCTGTTGCATTTTCCTAAATTTCACCGCTGGTCTGAAATCTCTTCTTTCAAAGGGGATTTTAGTTTTGGGAAAAGTCAGAAGTAGCCGGGTGCCAAATCTGGGCTGTAGGAGGCTGAGTCACCTGGGCGACTTGATGACACATCATTGCTACTCAAAGTCTATAGCTTGCTTTAGGGTTCATGCTCCCTGGTGTACATTCTATGGGTTTGAACAAATGTGTAACGACTTACCCTCCATTAAGGTGTCATATGGAGTAATTTCACAGCCCTAAAAATCTCTCCTCCTGCCTATTCATCCCTCCCTTCCTTCAACCCCTGATCTTT